AAATTTCGTGTAAAACAGCGGCTTGAGATCGTCTTATTTTTATTTTCCATCTTTCTTCGATGGTGACGTAACTACCTACCCTGATTCGGAATTTTAAGTGCAGTACAAAATACATTTGTATTACAATCCGTACGATATGTATTGAGATAGAATTCCCAGAAGACTGCGTCGCTTTCTTGGAATTAACCGCATTCGACAAGTAGAAGACATTGGCGGCGTGGCGTTCACCGAAGTAGCTTGCAGTGCATCGTCCTATGCATAATTTATTATTGTCTTGTAAAAAAAATGAAAACACACTTTAATCCAAAAAATCTACTTATATACAGGATGTCCGTTAAAGAATGGGCCAACCTTTACCACTAGATTCTACGACGAAAATTAATGGGAAAAAGACCCATAAAATGTTGCTCAAGAACGCTTAGTTTTCCAGATACAGGATGTTGAAGTTGAAAAAATAAAAAGGTTTTCAGGCATATCTCGGAGATACGTAAAGGGATTTTTTTTTAATTTGAAATGAGGAGTTTTAGTGGGGACCTACATCATTTGCTGCGATTTCAGTCAGTACAAAAAACCAACGGCCAACTATATCTTCGAGACCCTTTTCTAAAAAATATATGTTACGCCACTGCGTGAAGTTGAATTAAATAACATGTTTCAAATATTCATTCCAACAAAATATTTGTGTGTACCTGTATAATTATTAAAATTTTACTGAGGCATGGACACTACAAACTGCACAACTTTTGTTATACGTCTTTCAAGTTTCTTTACATGTTCAATAAATTAATCAAAAATTTTTACCAATTGTGCACATTCATCGCATAGAAAATACGACTTTAGCCTACCTACCATTTTACCGTTTTCGTAAACCGCCATATTTTACTTGGATACGAAAAATACTAATGAAATACATTTAAAGGCACTTAAAAGACAACACCGTCGGTGAAAGTAACAGATCGCCACAAACACGTGGCAACATTGTATTACTCCTCCCGGCTCTCGACCGGTGTACAATGATTGTAGAGTTCATCGGATGTAGAGGTGTTTTAAAATCTTATGAACTTTGATCTTCATATGCGCAAACATAATTCCGACCGTCGCCTAAATTATTCTACGTCCTAAAAACATTACATCTATTATTCACAGTCTATATCGAGCTCTCGTAGCGTAAACAAGCCTTTGATCCGATTACAAATATCATAATAAAATGCCATATTCTTTATTATTTTAATTTAAGCAATAAAAATATATATAACGAACGTTCGCCAGTTGACTTTATTGATGCCCGAGCGCCTTAGTTTATTTCTGGTTGTAATGAGGCACGTGGTCTAATTATGAGTCAATGTTTTCACAACGTGCTTAGAAGAATTGAGATGAGATGAGATTTTGAAACTACTCTACGCGGTTTTTAACACCACCAGAAATATGAAGTCTACACAAAATATGTCGTAGGGCAATAGGTATGAATAAAATAGTAAAGCTAAAATTAAAGTTAAAAAAAAACATGTGAAAGTTAAAACATCTCACAATGTTTAGAAATCAGACAGGGCTTCAACATCATCATATGTTGAAAAAATGTTTATGTATGCACCTTTTTAAGTTTTTTGGAGTAAAATGTCGTAGTGTAAAGAACAGAAGAATAGTGAAACGTACGAGAAACAATGATCACAGCTGCAAATTGTAACATTAATTCAGAATAAATAAGATTAATAAAATTAAAACGTAGAACCTGTTGCATTTTATTTTGTTTTTTTTAACATAAATTTAAAAATTAGTAGATTTTGGTTAATATTGGTACAGAGTGAGAATTTGCATAATGTAGAATAATGTAGTTTAGATTGCAAATAAAAAGTCGTTAATACAAATTTTAAAAATGTGGATCCAAAAAAAAATAGTGGTCGTAGAGTTGAATTTTCCAAATAGACTGACTTGCTTTTTATATCTGTAAATTGGAACACCCCGTATAAATATCTGAATGCACATGCTGAGTGACCCTGGCACAGTTTATTTATGACGCTGTTTTGCATATCCTACTTTGTTGTAGAGAGCAACTTAATTTTAACTTTTTGAAATTTTTCTTTTTCGATACGTTTCTTTAGATCAATCATAACCTATATCTACGATAATCTTCTAAACTAACTACTCTAAACTAACTAACTTCTAAAATTATCGTTTAGTAAGTAAACTAATCATTGCAAAAAAAAAAACGAATGAAATTAATTAACAAATACCTGGAGTAACAATTTCACAGTCAATCGAATCGGCTTTTGGCACACATGTTGGTCATTGGATTGACCGTCTTATCTATAAATTTCATCAACATCCATCGCTATTTGCAATAATAATGCGCAATTTTCGAAAACTGATTTTTCCGCGATCGACCTTTATTTTACAGTGAACATGTTAGTTAAATATAAACTCTAGGTGTATTAAATAACATAATACATAAAATAACTAATTTTCAGATAGGTTGTCTAGATTTTCATAGGCAGTAAGAAAGCATGCAAAGGGTGATTCACTATATTTTGACCCCCCCCCCTTTTTTTGTTTTAAGAGTTATAAAAAATGTGAAATATAAAAGTTTATAAAAGCACGAGTTTTTATGAATTTTTCGAAAATGGTAGTAGAAAAACAAATGAAGTCCAAACAAATTGGTCGCGGATTTCAACTTTGTTAAGTTAAATGGAACACCTTGTATATTTTTACATATTTGGATAGAACGTTTCCTGTTGGAAAAGAAGGTTTTTTATTAAGAAAATAAAACATCTTGTAATTTTTAGACCTCTTTCAGCCATGTCTGCCTTTTTCCAATTACGTAAGGATTTACAGATATAGTTATAATATATTTTGACAGATCGGACATTGATATAGCCCAAAATGCGTATCCGCGATAATTTTGATCGTGTTTACACATTCATTTGAACAACATTTGTCTTATTTGCCATTATTATTAGTAATTTTGTTATCAAACTGGGGTTATTTGACTTTTGTGTTATTTTATAAGTTTCAAATATTTCATAAATAAATTTCAAGGCAAGTATTTATGTCTACTTTATTTGTCTATAGCATTACAATTTAATGTACATTTTATTAGGTTATAACTATGAACTTATCCGTTGTGGAATACATTTCCTATTTACATATTATGCCAACGAAAACTCTCGTTGTATATCAGAAGGGGAGGCAGTTTTTAACGCTAATCATGTGGTAGATACTATATGGGAAAATTAGGCAAAGTTAATTTAAATTTAGAAATTTATATTATGTCTGCAAACTAGTGCCCTTACCTACTAACAACCCTCATGAAATTCAGGGAGTATTATCTATCGGCAATAATATTTTGAAAATTNAATAAGATTAATAAAATTAAAACGTAGAACCTGTTGCATTTTATTTTGTTTTTTTTAACATAAATTTAAAAATTAGTAGATTTTGGTTAATATTGGTACAGAGTGAGAATTTGCATAATGTAGAGTAATGTAGTATTATTAGATTGCAAATAAAAAGTCGTTAATATAAATTTTCTAAATTTGGATAAAAAAAATAGTGGTAGTAGAGTAGTATTTGGGAAAGTTATAGTTTTCAAATAGACTGGCTTCATATACTTTTTATATCTGTAAATTTGAACACCCAGTATAATTATCTGAATGCACATGCTGACTGACCTGGGACAATTTATTTACAACGCTGTTTTGCATATCCTACTGTGTTCGTTGTAAAGAGCAACTGTATTTGAACTTTTTGAAATTTTTCTTTTTCGATCAATTTCTTTGGATCAATTAGAACATATATATACGATATTCTTCTAAACTAACTACTCTAAACCAACTAACTTCTAAAATTAAACAATTGATACGGTCCAAAATGCGTATAAGTTATTTAACTAAATCCCACTAGAGGTCTAATTACTTATGGACAATGTTATATAGTAGGTCGTGACAGTGACAGGAAGTAATGTCATGACAACATTGTTATTGATTGACAGTTTGTTTTATTATTTAATACAGAAGTAGAAAATTGAAAGATTATTTAGAATTAAAATAGAGTATGGAGAAAAACATTACTCTATTTTAATTCCTATAATATTTCAATTCTTTACTTCTGTGTAAACCATTTTAATTAAATAATAATATACATTGTCAAACAATAACAATGTTGTCATTACATTACCTGTTACTGTCACGGCCTACCATATAACATTGTCCATGGGTAATTAGGCCTCGCACGGCCTAATTAGTTAAATTTTATTAAATTATCTATATGCATTTTGGACCGTATCAATGTCCGATCTGTCAAAATATATTATAACTAAATCTGTAAATCATTACGTAATTGGAAAAAGGCAGAAATGCCTGAAAGAGGTCTAACTAACGATTATATTATTATAATTATTTTCTTAATAAAAAGGGTTCTTTTCGTTTTNCCTACATATACATAAGTATTTATTATAATATTTCGTTGTTCATAATTTTCGAGATGAAAAAAATAATAAAATACCATATGGTGCGTTATGAAAAAAAAATGTCACGCGACGGACTCGAACTAGTGATCTACTGACTATCAGTTCCGAACGTTACCTATTAGGCCACGCTCCCAGTACAGGAATATGTCACATCTAGTAGATTTAGTTGTCAAGTAAAACTTCAAAATCGATTATCTCGTTAAATTATGAACGTTGCGTCGAACTACTTCGAAAAATTGTTATTCAAGGTCCAAACTACACGTACCATAAATATCAAAAATTACAAAAATCCGACTACCTTACCTGTTAGATTTAATGTCTATCTCTAGACGTAAATTANTCCTGACCATTGCTAGTAAATTAATGGAATTTAATTTTTATAAAAACTTTGCAAAGCTATTTATCATTCACCAAGAAGTACAGCTGTAATTAATTGGATTCCTTTATCTTACAATACCACCATCCCTGTAAGGCCTTTGTTATCTCGTGCCACAAACGAATGCAATCTTAATTTCCATCCCCTATTGTTTTGTTTCAGAAAATTATGGTCAGTCAGGCATTCAAGCCTTTCGAGATCTAGCAGGAGAAGAGGACGTCTGCATAGCTAGGGAGGATTCGGTGCTGAGCAATGCGGCGGAAGAGGTGTTCGAGAAGGTCGTCCTCAACTTGAAACAGGACTCTAACGCTAATGTGGTCGTCTGTTTTTGTGAGGGTCTGACCGTACGCGGACTACTGAAGGCCACAAGAAGGCTCAACATGACCAACCACTTTTTATTCATTGGAAGGTAAAAAGTTATCTTGTTACCGTCGAATTTGCTGAATGTGTTCCCTGGAATAATAGTGCTTACTATATTCTCTACCTGCTTAAGACATAATCAAGAATAATAGGTACCTTTAAAAAATAAATAGATCTACCTATGTTTATACCTATGTACTTTTACTTTACTCGAAATTTTACACCTGTCATTTTAAGCCAATTACAGAATTACATATTGTAATTTCAACAGTTGCTCATGGCAACCTTCAAATTTTTCGAAATTTTTTTTCCTAATGCCAAGCTATAGACCAGGGTCGATAATTTTTGAAACCAAAAAAAATTATAGTAGGATGAAACCCATTGGAAAAGAAAGAGAAAGAAACAGAAATGAAAGGAAAAATAATTTACGGGCGATCTGAGGTCGGGAAGGGGTAGGGGGTGAGTTTTTAAGGGTAAAAAACGGTTTCCCTTGATTTCCAGAAAAACTACAAGTCTTATGGAAGAAAGTTAAATGACAAAGTTGTAGGTAATAAAAAAATCTACAACTTTTGTATTTACACTTTTTTCACATATCCTCAAAATTTATGTGAAAAATTCAAATAACCAAGTTTTTGGTTTTTTATTTTTATCTTTTACAAAAAAAAATTTTTTTCACGAAATTTGGTGAAAACTTACCTATTTATGTCCCAAACACGCTGTAATTTTTTTGATTTGAAATATTTATTTTTTCACCTTATTTTTACTTAATATCGAAAAAGCACCCTAATTTTCAATCGAAAATTCTCACGTCAAAATATCTGCTTTTTTAAAAACGTCGGTGGGCTTTTTCTTCGTTGAAATCTCTACTTTCTGATGGTGTAAAAAAATATA